AAAAAAAAAAAAAAATACACATTTTTTACATGACGTGGTGTTATCTCCTTAATGCTGCTTGCAGGGGTATTGAGCCTTTTGGCTTCTCTGCACCACATTGGAAGAGGAAGACTTGTCTTGGGCCACACATTAAACACACAGACAGTAATGAAAGCTGATGAGCAAAAGAGAAAAAAAAAGGTCCATGCATAATTTTTGCAATATCTGCCACCACAGATAAGCAAATACCTCCTCACATAATCTGCATGTGGTCCATGGGCTGGACACCCCTGCACCATTTTGTAATGTCTTGATTAATTTTGATAGAGAAGCTTTGGAACAGCAAATATTAGAAACTAACGTGCAAGACAGAAAAGGTTAAAGAGGGCCTCGGGAGGAGTTAGGAGAGACCAGTGCAGGAGAACTTTGACTTGAGCTCCTGCTATGTGTCTGACTCTGTTAGTTTTCTGTACACATTATCATATTTGGTCTTTTTGCAGTTCATTCTGTAGGTAAAGTTATCCCCATTTTGCAGAAATGAGACTTTAGGTTGATTAAGTCATTTTTAACCTAAGTCATACAAGTTATAAAAACTATATCCTCAAGTCAACTGTAAAATTAATGTTGTTTGACTTTTGTTATGTCATTACTGCTACTTTAATATTCTCCTCAAGCCTGTTTCCTACAAGATGAACCCCTTTGGTTGATCCTTTAGAGCAGTTTACATATTATGAATCTAAAATACAGGTATTCTAAAAAAAGTAAGAAAATGTGATAGTGTATTTGTTGATCATGTTTTCTCCTCTAGGTGGCCACATTAATCTTCTGGGGTTTTTTTGGACTACAAAAGGGATGACATCTGGAAGAAATTTTTCTAGGGAAATATAAACATTAAAATATTGTATGAAATTCTTTTTGTTCAGTTTTATTTTTATTCTGTTGTACTTAAAATTAAGAGCATTTTCTTTTAATTTTATTATAATTAAAAATAAAATAATTTTATTTTTAAAAGGTCAGAGTCAAAGATGGTTTGTGGATATCTTGTTTAATTGCTGAACTAGACTAAATTCTGAAATTCCATTCATGCTACCTGATACTTTCAATTTTTATAGGAGAGGCTGATTACAGATAATTCTATATAAAGATTAAATTTAGTATAAAATTATTAAAATGTCTTCATATTATTTATAATTTTTCATTCTCATTTACCA